TTGTTTGAAATGTTGCAAAACTAATAAATTAAAGATGCGTTTACACGAGTCAAGTGAATTGATCAAGTCAGTTGAATTCAATTTGCCTAAAGGCAATATGACCGTCTAAACTCGAAAGATCAAAAAAAATTGTTTAACCTTTGACGTTCAAGTGGTTTTTTTAAATGGCGGCCAAGTAGGTGATCAGAAGAAAATTCTGTAAAAGTTTTTAGAGGTTTAATAATATATTTTTATACCTTTATCCCTAGGCGTTAAAATGACTCTTTTACATTATTGTCAATCACGTCGCAAAAATTAATACTTTTGTGACGTTTGAAAAAAAAATTGTTTATTAAAGTTTATTTGATTTTGTTTACTTTCACATTTTTTCTATTTTCAAAATTTTCGTATTCAGGACAATTTCTATTTTGTGTCAATTTTTCGAATATTTTGGTTTATCTGACATAAGTGAAGACATACTATAGTATTAGTCATCTTTATTTCTATAATAATTATAATGACTTGGCAATTGCACGATATGATATTCTATAGTAATTAAAAAACTTTATTCTTAAGTGCACCGTTTATTAGATTTAGAAACACAGAATGACGTGTGGAGTCCCTCAAGGTTCGATCCTCGGGCCCACCCTCTGGAATATATTTTACGATCAGATACTTAGAACCGATACAGGTCTGGGCAACACGATCTTAGCTTACGCGGACGATCTAGCCCTCTTAATAACTGCATCCACCTACACGATCCTCGAAGAAAAGATTCAGACGGCTGCGCTAGCGATTAAAAATAAGTTGGAAAGCATGGGCGTCAAACTGGCCCCCGAAAAAACTGAGCTGGTCATTCTCGTTGGACAACGCAAGGCAAAAAATCTAAGCATAAAGCTGGATAATTTAGTTATAAAACCTCAAAAGAAGGTTAAATACATGGGGGTTTGGTTCGACTCGGGCATGCGCATGACTTCACACGTCACAGAAATCAGGGATAAAACGACTGGCATCATCCAGCATCTGACGAGAATAACTCCCAATATCGGAGGACCTCGCGCGGCACTTCTACCGATTTCTCGCTTCGGTAGATCATTCGACCATACACTACGCATCACCGATCTGGGACAGATCCATGCGTTTCAAGCATTATGAAAACATGCTAGAAAGGATAAATAGGAAGTTAGCACTCAGGGTTGCATCGGCATACTGCACATGTCCAATAGTAGCGGTACTGTGTCTTGCTAAGATACCTCCAGTCAGTCTACTGATCCAGGAAATAAATCAAATATATAAAAATGGAACTTCCTTCCGGAAAGAGGCCAGAAACATGGAACTAGAGCAATGGCAGACACGATGGGAAGCATATATCGGATGGACAAAGACTTTCATACCCAATATTAAAGATTGGATAAAATGCGACCAAGCAAACACGGACTACTACATCACGCAAGCCATGACTGACCATGGAGTATTTGGTGAGTATCTGCACAGGATCCGCAAGGCTGACTCTCCTAAATGCTGGTATTGCGAGGTGTCAGACTCGGCTAACCACACACTATTTGAGTGTCACGCGCACGAAGATTTACGGGAAAACGCAGAAACAGTGTGTGGTATGAAGATTTCTAGAGTAAACGTCGGAAACCCTCTAACATCATCGAATGAAAATACCGAAGCAATTTGCGGCATGTTAAGGAACATTATGAAGAAAAAGGCGAAGGACGAAAAAGACAAGATCTGGGTACAGACAAGACCAATAGAAGTATGATAAGTCTCTAATCTTGATGAAATGCCTTCGGCGCCGGCGGTACCGAGATTGGCGAGCTTAGAGCACAGATGGGTTTTTAGTGGGTAGACCCTCTCGCATGAGGGAGATCCCCACACTCCGGCCCTAAAGGCGTCGTTTTCCATCTATAAAAAAAAATAGTAATCGAAATAGTAGATATATTCTTTTTTATAATTATGGTCCCGTGCATGCAATTGCCAAGTCATTAAGATTATTATAGAAATAAAGATGACTAATATTGATATTAACAATTTATATCAAAATTGTTGAATAGGTGCTTAAAGAGAGACTAAATAAAATAAACTGACTTGGTTTTACATGAGATCTCACAACTTTTTATAGCGACTTGGCATTTTCTTACATTCTATGTTTTTGATGGGATTTTGTATTCTGGACTCTGTATATTCCATAAACATTAATATTTTTCATGTAAATTAATAAATTTTTTGTCATACGCTCCCAAAAACAGCTATTTTACGGACTCATTTCAGTCCGTAAAATGTTTCTTTTTCGGCCTAGGCCGTAAAGGTCGTCATGGCAACCTTTATGGACTAAAATGTCTAAATTCGTTATTTGGTTGTTTTATTTTGTCATTCGAAATTTGTCACAAAATCACATAAAATTATACATATATTTATAATTAAATTATTAAATACTAACAATATCAAAAGCTAAGTTATTTGTTTTAAAGTAAGTACCTGGTACCTATTTAAAAGAGGCTTTTTAAATTAAAATATTCTTAAATTACAGTCACAAACATTCAAACCATCGTCAATTTGGTCCAAAATATTCCATGCTGAGAGCAGTGTTAAGTGTTAAAGAAGATATTTATATTGACAAATTTCCAAAACTTTTGCTTTTTTGAAGAGGAATTCGGTTGGTTACGAGCCTAAAAAGTCTAAGGTTTTGTCCATAAAAGAGATCGGTGATTTTTTGGCCACGGCTAGTGATGAAACTTATTTACTTACTAAGGTAAGTTTGCGATAATGATTTTTAAAATATATAGATGGTTTCTTATTCCATTGTATTTGATTTTTAAATTATTAAATACTAACAATATCAAAAGCTAAGTTATTTGGAAAAATAAAAATGAAATGAACAATTTTGTGCATTTTGAAAACTTGCATCTGCAATCGAAACGACTCCTCCATTGGCAGGTAAATTTACTTTCTGATGAGGTGGAGTAAATGCGAACGATGATGTACTTGGTAATACATCCGTGGAAGTGGTCGCGATTTTCTTTTCCCCCATTAGCAGTTTGCAAACTTTCTTCTTTTTCTCAATAGATTCTTCTATGTAACCTTCGGCCACTGTGGACGACCTAAATAATTATTGTTGTTTAGAACAAGATCGGAAAATATTAAAATTTTTACCTCCAACCTCCTAGGCGTTTCAGCGATGTAAAATCCACATCTGCATCTGCAGCAAGAGTAGCAGAACTACGTCGGAAACAATGACCTGTATATTCGTTTGGGTTCGACAACTTTAAAAATGCTGCTACAATCGATGGCATCTTCCCAAATGAATGAATGCCGACTCGTTGCACGGTGCATTTTCCTTTACGATAAGAGATGAAGACATAATCATGTGGTACATTTTTTGGCCTAAGACAAGCATATTTTCTATACAACTCAACTGGATTGACAACGTTCCCTTCGTTCACCACCGGAAACACTCTTTTGATATTAGTTTTTGTATCCGCAAGGGTAACTAAAAGGCAGCTGTTGTCTTTTTCTATGATGTCTTGCACTCGTAGAGAGTACAATTCTTCTCTTCTACATGCTCCACAAAGGCCAATGACAAAGAGCTACCTAAAAATCAAATACAATGGAATAAGAAACCATCTATATATTTTAAAAATCATTATCGCAAACTTACCTTAGTAAGTAAATAAGTTTCATCACTAGCCGTGGATAAAAAATCACCGATCTCTTTTATGGACAAAACCTTAGACTTTTTAGGCTCGTAACCAACCGAATTCCTCTTCAAAAAAGCAATAAGTTTTGGAAATTTGTCAATATAAATATCTTCTTTAACACTTAACACTGCTCTCAGCATGGAATATTTCGACCAAATTGACGATGGTTTGAATGTTTGTGACTGTAATTTAAGAATATTTTTAATTTAAAAGCCTCTTTTAAATGGGTACCCTAGGTACTGCCACTTTTCGTGGAAATAATTTAGCAATACATCTTCATTTACAACGAATACGCCATTTTGTCTTTCCATTCATTAAAAACATCATTCTTTCTGGTAAATGGCACGAGACTTCACAGGAAGTAAATCCAACACGATTTCTTTGGCCTTATTAGCAATATGTTCGGGATTTTGGAACATTTAAAATTGTTGATGAATTTGTGTGATTTTGTGACAAATTTCGAATGACATGTCAAAATGCGATGAAATAAACAAACTCGTTACTAAGATATGAATTTATAAGCCAACTTTTTCAAACATTATAATTTCAAATATGGAAAATTGCAAATATACGTTCTAAAAAACTGTAAAAGCGTATGACAAAAAATAGTGTATGTAACACGTACCTAAATTATGTTTTTTAGGACTCATCTACTATTTCGGACTCGGCTAACGCCTCGTCCGCAAACAGTAATGATTCGTCCTAAAAAACATCATTTTAGGTACTAGTTACATAAATAGCTATAATTTGTGGCGTTTGAAAAGATGATAAAAATGACTTTTGTGCCCTCGGCTGTATGTCAAACCCTTAATATATTATTAATTAATGTCATTTTTACTCCTAATAAAACAATATACAATATCCTCCGCATTTTTAATAAAAAAATTTGGTAGGTAAACCAACTAGCAACAAACTACTGTGATAAAACTAATTTTTAGTTTTATAGACCAGCAACTAACTGCGTTACCCAATTTCATTTGCATCTAATAAAAAAATATGTTATGCAGATTTTTTGCGAACACTATATTTTTCCATACTACACCACTGTTTGACACCGACAAATCAAACGACCATTTAGATTTCTGTTTAGTTTTCAATTAGCGAATAATTTATGTTTTTACGTTTTATGTTCGTCTATAGCAAATAGTAAAGTGGTAATTTGATTAGCTTTGCTATTTGGTAAACGTTCGTAGTGAAATGCATGCAACCATGCTGTGGCTTTCTAAATGGGCAATTCTACTGTTTTATTAGTTTTATGCTACGATATGTTTGTAAGATGGATGTTGCCGACGGAAAAAAGGGTGAGGAGGTGGGGTTGTCAATGGAGGATTTGCTCTGCGACCCCACTGGGGTGCAAGAGTTCACCAATTATTTGCAGAAAGAGAAGAGCGAGGAGAACATCCTGTTCTGGTTGGCGGTCAACGATTTGAGACGGTCGTCCCAGTCGCAGGTCCTATGGAAAATTCAAGAAATATATGAGTAAGTGTTTTTTGTTATTAATCATATTTTCATAAATTAGAAATTTGTGTGATAAATAGGTAACGATACTACAGGTTCATTCAGAATCTCGCAATTAGTGGAAAAAATAAGGGTTTCAATTACTTTTTAATTTACGATCATTCAAAATGTCTAAAAAACACAATTAAAATTAATAGAATACCCTAGCAACATCTTGCGGTAATCAGGTGTATCCATAGAGCCTAATATTTAACTTAAAAAACAATCAACTTTATATAAGGAAAAAACTTCTACTCTAATTGAAACAATAATTTTTTCCGCTAATTACGAGGTTCTGAATGAAGCTTTAGTGTAGGATCATTCACAATGTTTAAACAACACAATTAAAATTAATAGAATATCCTAGCAACATCTTGCGGTAATCAGTTGTATCCAGAGAGAAAGCCTAAAGCTTGATTTTCATGCATCCGTTATCCGACGATATGATGATACGATATTAATTTTATTGGTTGAATTGAAAGACTTCGATTAGTTAGAAACGGTTAACCAATCGAAGTCTTTAAATTCAACCAATAAAATTAATATCGTATCATCGTATCGTCGTCGGACAACAGATGCATGAAGATCAAGCTTTAAGCGTAATATTTAGCTTATAAAACAATTAACTTTTGATTCCTAACCACATTTTCTCTTGTTGTACGATAAACCAAAGGCCAAAATGACATTCCTCGCAAATTTTGAAGTATAATTAGTGGAAAAGTTAAAAATTTGTTAACTTTTTCCACTAAAGTTTCATTCAGAACCTCGTGGAACAAATTATTGGAATAAATTAGTGGTTTCAAATACACTTCATACTTTTTAGTTTACGATCATTCACAATGTTTAAAAAACACAAATAAAATTAATAGAATATCCTAGCTACTGCTTGCGTTAGTTAACGGAAGATAATCAAAGACCAAAATGACATTTGTAGCAAATTTTGAAGTATAATTAGTGGAAAAGTCAAAAAAATTTTCTACTAATTGAAAATGTCTACCACTAACTTTGACGTTCTGAATGCTTAAATTGAAATAAAAGCAACAAACTTCTTCGCTAATTAAAACCACTGATTTATTCCACTAATTTCGAGGCTCTGAATGAAGCTTAATTAAAAATGCACTAATTTTGACGTTCTGAACTAACGTTATACGCTAATTGAAACCACTAATTGCGAGGTTCTGAATGAAGCTTTTAAGCGAGAGTAGGAAGGTGGCGCGCCATCGGGATTTTTTTTATACAAGGTGTTTCAAAAAACATATGCCATGTATTCAAAATAAATGAATTACGGACTTCCATTTTCTTTCTTGATTTTGATTAACACAACGTTTCGGTCAGAAGGATCACTGACCGTTATCATGTTTACACTTGTGAAAACGTTTGAAACTTGAAACGTGCGAATCAAAATAAATAAAGACAATGGAAGTCCGAAATTCTTTTAGTTTCAATGCCGAATCGTTGTCTACCACATTCAACATATGCCATCTTTCGTGGGGAGATTTTTCATATATTTTTTGAAACACCTTATATAGAATCACGAAAAAATATTAAAACGGACCAAATATGATAAACAACAATTTTGTTCACAAGCTGGGAGTAAAATGAACTGCCTGATAAGTTACCAAAGGTTTGATACTGGAATTGCAATAGCGTCATTGCCTAGTCATTACCTAGTATAAAACCGCTAGTCTGCCGAATCTTCGTGATCACCGTTGCGATTTACAGCTGTCTTTTATATTATACCGGGTGCGTCTCAAAAGTGGCGCACCCCCTATAATTTTTTTATTTTTTCAGATAAAAAAACGAGATTTGGTATGTTAGTATATGACATAAATTGATTGACGTATTCAATTGTTTTTAGTCACTTCCTCTTCCACCGGAAATGATCACAACTTTTTATTTTTAAATTGCACCCTCGGTATATATTTACTGTATACTATAATAAATGACACTCTGAATAGAATGACATATCATATGTTAACTTTTGACATTTTTGCATAAAAAAAATCGTATTTTAAATTTGAATCTAGATTGCCATGGCTGAGTTAAAAACAGTTGTTATCATAAAGTTGTAATCATTTCCTGTGAAACAGGAAATGATCAAAAACAATTGAATACGTCAATCAATCCTAATTTATGTCATATACTAACATGTCAAATATCTGTTTTTTATCTGAAAAAATAAAAAAGGTATAGGGGGTGAGCCACTTTTGAGACGCACCCGGTATAGAAACATGAAAAAAGAGTGAGTTATTAAAACGAACATTAAGAACTCATACATTCAGGCATCAATAGTATTGTTTATTCATAGATATTCACAAAATTTATTATCCATTTAATAAGAGCACTTTAAAAGAGTACTTCACTGTGTACAGAGTGTCCCATTTTCGTGTGATTTATAGCTTTTTTTATTTATGAGAAGAAATATATAATGATTTGGTTATCACATCATTGTGCTACCTTTTTATGAAACTAAAGATGCTAACACAGATTTGTCCTACCCTTTTTAGTTGTAGCCATTTTAGTTCCTGAAATACAGGACTAATTTGAAAATGTTGCATTTTTCATCGCCCACAATATCTCGATTATCTTAAAACTTGTGAAAACTGAGTTTCGTAGAGTATTTCACGTAGAATCCAGTGGCGTAGAATGCAGAATGTTTAGGAGGGGAATTAATAACCGCTTTACAGATCTCTCTCTATTGTGTGTTCCATTTTCTTGAGTTATAACGAGTTATACTACTACTACTACTACTACTGCTATTACTCGCTGACGAGTATTTGACACGCATCAGGAGATGGTCACGCAAGGCGTTTTCTTTCATGAGCTTTTCTGTGACTGAAAATCCCGATACGTGATGTTATCTGCCTACCGCACTCCGGACATTCAAAAATCTCATTGCTTTGTTGCATCTTTACTTTTTGGTTGTCGCTGTTAACTGAGTTTTCAATTCTTCTCCATTGAGTTCTATTGTAAGCTGTTTCTTCCCACTCATTCTGCATATTAATCCCCTTTAAGTTTTCATGGAAAATGTCCTTGTACCGTTTGAGTTGCCCACCCGGCCTCCTCTTACCGTCTACAAGCTCACCATAAAGCAGAGATTTTGGTATGCGGGTTTCTTGCATTCTGCATACGTGACCAGCCCATCTTAAGCGGGATTTTGTAACCATGACTTCAATGCTTTCGCAGTTAGCTTTATCAAGGACCGATACGTTTGAGACATGATGGAATCATCGGATTCTTAAGAGTTGCCTAAGGTGTCTCGGTTGCAACTTCTTTAATGCGTGTGTCGGCGGTACGGCACCCAGGTTTCGCTCCCATATAACATGGTGGGGATTATAATTGCTCGGTACACTGCAAGTTTCGTTTTTGTACTCAAATCATGATTGTAGAAAACCCTGTCTTTTAATTTCCAGAATGCTCTTGAGGCGCTGCTAATCCTGTGCTAAATTTCAGAGTCGATATTGGCCTTTTTCGAAATCAAACTGCCGAGGTAATTGAATTCCGCTACAAATTCCAATAGTTCTCTAACCTAACCGATTTGTATAGCATTATTGTGATCTTCCGGGGGAGTGCACATGATTTTGGTTTTGTCGATGTTTAGTTTAAGCCTCAAAGCTTCGTATGCCCAGGTATATGTGTTCAGCATTTCTTGTAATTGTAACGTTTTTGCAACTAGAGCGCAGTCATCGGCGCATTGAAGTTCTGTGATGAATTTTGTACGTGTTTTTGCCCTGAGTCTTTTTATGTTGAACAGACCACCGACCGGCGCCGTCGTATCTATATCTAATGCCCAATCCTCTCTCCTGCAGTTTGCTGTCCACTATAATGGAGAGCGCTGCCGTGAACATGTACATACTCTTGTATTTTTTAAGAAGGGATTGCTCAGTGATCCATGATGTGACACCCTTGACTTGTTGTTATGGAAGCTTTTACACACTGCAAGAAATTTGTTGGGTACTCCGAACTTTTTCATAATTGCCCAAAGTGCATCTCTGTTCACAGAGTTGAAGGCTTTTGTTAGGTCGATAAATACAATATAAAGTTTAGACTGCTGCTCTTTTACTTTTACCTGTAGTTGGCGGATGAAAAATATGGATTCCACGGTCGCGGTGCCGCGGTTGGTACGAAAACCCGTTTGTGATTCTGGAAGGATTTTTGACGAGTTATAACTAATCGTACAGTCTCATGGTTGTGGCAAAAGCCAGTACTTGAGACGACTTCACAAAGGCCAGCTCTCCATCGTCGACATCAGCCGTACCAAAGTTTATGGCACGAACGGTCGTCGTCTCGGCACACTCAGTTCTGGTGTTTCCCCATTTTCCCCACAGAATCTACATTCGCCGTTGTTTCTCAGCTTCAGCTTACTGAGGTGTTCGTTGAGGAGACAGTGTCCTATTAGAAACCCCGTGGGCAATCCGTGACAATTGTTTTTACTTAAATCCAAGAAATTCATTGATTTTTCTCGGTCGTAAGTTCTGAGGAACTTTTTCGAGTGTCTTAGACCGTTGGAGGACTCTCATTCCAGGTTACGGATGGAGTCTTCCAGGGTCCTCAGTTCCGCCATTAGTTGGTTTCCGCTTGGAAAACAAAACGGTTCTGGTCCAGTTAGTGGAGTGTTCGCTCCTTTTCTAGCTAGATCGTTGAGCGGACACCCAGAGTAGGAGGATTTTATTTTCTTTGCCTAATTAGTTCAGCTTCTCTAGGCATTTTTTATCATATATTATTCTGATTATGCGCCCCCATATTAAACCACATAACACAAATTAAATTAGTGTTTTATTTTACTTTTATTATGTTTGCGTATGTTCATTTTAGTTTCCTTTCGACTGGAATGTCATTGGATAAATGCGAGTTTTCTGGCATTACTAATTGCTGCATTCATTTCATTGTCAACTCATAGCGGTTGTGTTACAAAATTTATAGTGGTTATCTGAGATGTGCCTTTTAGGAAAATTAACCGGACACATTAAATGTTCAAATGT